TTTTCTAATAAAGGAAATCTCCAAGACAAGTATTCCAGAGAGGTGTACTAACATGTAAAGACAAACAAACAAACAAAAAAGCAAGTTTTACGTATTTCAGATATAAAGATGAGAGCCACATTCATTTAATATGCACTTCTGTGCATATTCAAAAGTAGACAATGGCAGGAACTAATAGGTGATCATAGCAGTGCTGTAGGATCCAAGGTTAATACAAAAAAGTCAATCATTTTCTATATACCAGTAATGAACAAGTGGAATTTGAAATTAAAAACATAATATTATTTACATTAACCCTACCCAAAATGAAATTCTGAGGTATAAATTTAAGAAAATATGTACAGGATACATATGAGAAAAAGTACAAAACTGATTAAAGACATGACAAAAAAACTAAGTAAAGATGTTCCGGCCGGGCACGGTGGCTCACGCCTGTAATCCCAGCACTTTGGGAGGCAGTGGCGGGTGGATCACGAGGTCAGGAGATCAAGACCGTCCTGGTCAGCATGGTGAAACCCCGTCTCTACTAAGGATGCAGAAAGTTAGCTGGGCATGGTGGCGCGTGCCTGTAATCCCAGCTATTCAGGAGGCTGAGGCAGGAGAATTGCCTGAAACCAGGAGGTGGAGGTTGCGGTGAGCCAAAATCGTGCCATTGCACTCCAGCCTGGGTAGCAGGAGGATAACTCTGTCTCAAAAAAAAAAAAAAAAAAAAGATGTTCCGTGTTTGTGGGTAGGAAGGCTCAATATTGCCAAGATGTCAGTTCTTCCGAAATTGATCTATAAATTCAATGCAATCCCAATCAAAATAGCTCGTTATTTTGTGGATAGTGATAAACTGCTTTTAAAGTTTATGTGGAGAAGCAAAAGTCCCAGAATAGCCAACACGATATTGAAGAAGAACAAAGTTGGAAGGCAAACACTGCTGGACTTCAAGACATTTAAAAAGCTACAGTGATCAGGACAGTGTGGTATTGACGAAAGGATGTAGAAATCAATCAATGGAACATTATAAAGACTAGAATTAGACTCAGATAATACGGTCAACTGATCTTTGACAAAGGAACAAAGGCAATACAATAAAGCGAAGATAGTCAACAAATGTTGCTACAACTGCATATCTACATGCAAAAAAAACAAAAAAGAATCCAGACAAAACTTATACCCTTCACAAAATTAACTCAAAACTCACTGACCTAAATGAATCACAGACCTAAAAAAAAAAAAAACCCCATAAAACTATAAAACTCCTAAGAGATAGCATGGGAGAAAATCTAGGTGATGATTTTTTTAAAGTGTCACCCAAGGCATGATCCATGAAAAACAATTAATAATCTGGACTTCATTAACATTAAAAATTTCTGCTCTTCAAAAGACACTTGTTGAGAATAAAAAGACAAGCCACAGACTGGGAGAAAATATTTGCCAAATACATATTAGATAAAAAATGGTTCTCCAAAATATGCAAAGAATTCTCAAAACTGAACAATGAAAACACAAATGACCCAACTAAAAAGTGGGACGAAGACTGACATCTCACCAAATACATACACATGGCAAATATTCATATATGAAGGATGCTTAACATCATGTGTCATCAAATAAATACAAATTAAATCAACACTGAGATACCACTGTACACTATTAGAATGGCCAGATCCAGAACACTGCCACACCAAATGCTGGTGAGGATGTGAAGCAACAGAAACTCTCATTCATTGTTGGTGGGAATGCAAAATGGTATCGCTACTTTGGAGGAAAGTTTGGCTGTTTCTTACAAAACTAAGCATATTTTCCTCGTACAATTCAGCAATCTTTTACCTTGATATTTACCCAAAGGAATTGAAAATTTTAGTCCACATAAAAGCCTGCACAGAGGAACAGAAAACCAAACACCGCATGTTCTCACTTGTAAGTGGGAGCTGAATAAGGAGAAAACATGGACACAGGGAGGGGAACCACATGGGGACCTGTAGGGAGATGGGGAGTGGGGAGGGAGAGCCTTAGGAAAAATAACTAATGCTTGCTGGGCTTAATACCTATGTGAAGGGTTGACAGGTATAGCAAACCACCGTGCACACCAGGGGTTGAACACAGGCCACCTGGATGAAAACTAGAAGTCCTAACTGCTAGTTCACCACGGAAGCAAAAGCTATTGCTGTCTGGTAGGTTCTTGGCCTTCCTAACCCCAAAAATGGGGAAAGGAGCACTAAAGGCCAGGTGAACTTACTGTTGCAATTAAACTTGTGGACCCAAAGAGTCGTTGAAGTGGAGTTTATTAGGCAGAGTGAAAAAGCATCTGCCATGCTTTCGTGGGAGGGAATGCAGAAAGGAATCCATTCAGGTAGGGGTGGCTGGAGTTTCAACTCTTGAGTTATTCCCTCCCCTTTCATGTTCTCATCCAATGAGAGGAGTTCTTTCGAACATCCTCTGGATTGATTGATCTTTGATATTGTTACTGGATTGGCTACTTGTTTTATAACGCTGAGTCACAGAGCCCCCTCCTCCAAAGAGCCCTGCAAGGGCTGTGGGCTGGAAACAAAGAGCTCTACCTGGCCCGAAGGCGGGAAACTGAACAAAGAGCCCTGGCCGTCTGAAGTTGGAAAACCGCAGAGCCCGGGAAGTTCCTCTAAAACAGTCCACTGGTGAATAGATAAATATACCATGGTACATCCAGAAAAAAAAAAACTCAGTACTAAAGAGAAACAAGCTGTTGAGCCATGAAAAGAGATGGAGAAAACTTAAAAGCATATTACCAAAGTGAAAGAAGCTAATCTGAAAAGAATATTGTATGGTTCCAGCTATATGATGCTGTGGCAAAGACAAAAGCATGGAGACAGTAAAAAGATAAGTGGCTGCCAGAGGTTGGGCAGGGATTAGGGGAGAGGAAGGCATGAATATGAACAGGCAGAGGATAGAGGATTTTAAGTGAAATTACTCTGCATGATACTGTAATGGTGGGTATACATCAATGTAAATTTATTAACCCCACAGAATGAATGTACAACACCAAGTGTGAACCCTAATGTAAACTCTCAACTGTGGGTTATAATGATGTGTCACTGTAGGTTTATCAGTTGTAACCAATGTACCACTCTGGTGAGAGATGTTAACAGTGTGGGAGGCTATGTATGTGTGGGGCAGGGAGCATATGGGAAATTTCTGTACCTTTCTCTCAATTTTGCTGTGAACCTAAAACTACTCTTAAAAAGAGCCTACTTTAAAAAAATTAAAGGCATGCCAAAGGCAAGTTATGAAATTGTGGTATCATTACAAAGTTATGCTTTAAACATTTATAATACATTTTCAAATTCACAACACAAAGGATTTAATTTAAAAGTAATAATACTGGGGCTGTAACAGGACATAAAGTTGAATGAACAGTGCCTTTTTTTTTTCAATCATATCACTGTATTTCTAACTACATAGAACTTCATTTGGAGATTATAGTCCAAATGAGAATATTCCTCAGTGTGAAGCCTGTATTAGTTTCCTTTTGCTGCTATAACAAATTACCATAGACTTAGCAGCTTAAATCAAGTAGATTATCTTACAGTTCTAGATGTTAGAAATCTGAAAATGGGATGGCAGGGCTATATTCTCCTGTAAGCTCTAAGAGAAAAGCCTGCTTCTTTGCCTTTTCCAGCTTCTCAAGGTTGCCTGCATTTCCATCCCTGTCTGCTGATGGCTGCTTCCATCCTCATGCCTCCTTCTCTGACTCTGAACTCTCTCTTATAAGAATGCCAGAGATTACATAGGGCCCACCTGGATAATCCAGGGTACTCTCCTCCATCTCTAGACCTTTAACTTAATCACATCTGCAATGTCTCTTTATCAGTATAAGGTAAAATATTCATAGGTTCTGGAGATAAGAATATGGGCATCTTTGGAGACCGATTATTTTGTTTATCGTGGAAGCTCAAAACAAAAACCCCTCCAAGAATTTCCCACTCTGCATGCTCTACCTCATAATTCAATTGGGGTTTATTTTTTCTAAACTCTTCAAGTGATACTTCAGAATGGTTATTACCAATGGTTACTAGAGGATTTCACTTTTCATGGTATGTGCTTTCACACGCCTGACGCATACAAGATATTATCATGATATGGCTGCTATAACTTGGTATTAAGTAACAAGAAAGCTACATCTGTTACCCAAAGTATGCATAACATGGAACTAATTATATTTATATAAAAAGGAGACAGAGAAAAATGTTGCTTCATACTTGATGTATAAATGAGTACTATAGTCTGCCCTTTTTCACTACAAGTTGATCTGCTAGACATCATGTCTGCCAGACATATATACAGTATGTTAGATCTAAGGATCTAAGGATTCATGTAAGATCTAAATTGATATACTTACTCTATGAACAAAACTAAATAAGATTCTAGTTAAAATTTGCCAATGTTTAATTATATAAAATTATTCTATAGCTATTAGTGTAACGAGCTTTATTACTCTGCTTTGCTTAAGATTAAGGAAGAAGAGCTTTATAACAACTCCACCTTTAGATTAAACAGGTTTAAAGATCAACACTAATAGAAATACTAATATGAAGTACCTTCCTGCTCTCATAGACTCATTCATTCATCTACCCAGTTAGTCAACAGATATTTATTCAATGTCTGATACAGGTGTGGTAGTGGTGCTACGAAGTCAAGTATTGTGCCAAACTTGTTTAATATAGTTGCTGCCTGGGCATCCATTTTTAGGCCTGATATAAGCTGTTTGAAATCCAGTTGTATGCCATCACCTGCGGCCTACTTAAAACTTCCCCTCCCTGTGATATAGAACACTTGTTCCTCATTCCACAACCAAAGCCCCAACACATCCCACAGCTGCTAACCATGATAAAACCCAATGGTCGACACCAGAGTCAAGATCCCCCTTTGTGGTGTTTTCTTTAAACTAGTCAATCCACAACCCTCTCTGGAAAGCCTAAGGGATAAAGACTTTGGACCTTAACTTAGCCCCACCAGTCCTCTCTCTTTCTTCCCACCTGCTGGTTGGGTGTCCCGTTATCTCCAGACATCCCATCAGGCTTATTCTCTGGCGAATCTGTAAGTAATAAAATGTGCCTGTTATTTCACATGTTTTGTGTGTGGCCTCCTTTGGCATCTCATCTGCACACCAGAACCTAGGTTTCCTCTTTGGGCTAGGGCTCTCCTGAAGAATGGCTGTTCTGGCTTAAGCCACTCTCAAAGAGAGACACCTCAAGATCAAATTAGAAAGAACAGCAATAGGGCCGGGCACGGTGGCTAAAGCCTGTAATCCCAGCACTTTGGGAGGCCGAGGCGGGTGGATCACGAGGTCAAGAGAGCAAGACCATCCTGGTCAACATGGTGAAACCCCGTCTCTACTAAAAATACAAAAAATTAGCTGGGCATGGTGGCGCGTGCCTGTAATCCCAGCTACTCGGGAGGCTGAGGCAGGAGAATTGCCTGAACCCAGGAGGCGGAGGTTGCAGTGAGCCGAGATCACACCATTGCACTCCAGCCTGGGTAACAAGAGCAAAACACTGTCTCAAAAAAAAAAAAAAAAAGAACAGCAATAAAAATGACAAGGAAGTGTATTATGGCACCTACTTTTCAGCTAAGAGTTAACACAGGACCTAAATGCTAATTATAATAAAAGTAACAAAAGTGAAAGAATGTCTTCAATAAGACTAAATAAAAAGAAAAAGCAGAAAACATCATTTTTGTATGCTCTCAACTGAGAAAATGGGTAAAAATAAAAATTGTAATAAATTCTATAACTGGATATTTCCAGTTTAAATGGTTTTTTATGAATCATAAACCACTGCATTAAGACTATGAATTACTGATGATTATATACTTTAATGTTTTTTAATCTATTTAATCAGCAATTCACTCAATAAATATTAAGTTTCTGTTACATTCCATGAGCTGGGAACACACAACCCAAGCCAAAAAAAAAAAAAAAAAAAGAGTTGTTACTTTCATGAAGTTTACATTCCAGGGACTAATGCAATAGTGCTCTCCTACTTCAAATTCTTCACTATGCTTTAATGGTAAATCTCACCAGCAACAACAGTACTAAGTAAGGTAAGATACTTTAGGCCTGAAATTATTCAACTTCTGCCTACTTCTGGATGAGGACCTTGAGGCTGCTCTGCTGTTAGTTTTGCCATCTTACATAAATTAACCATTTTAACTTGGTTCTCCTTTTGTAAAAAGGGAATTGGCAATAGTCGAGTTCTCCTGGGGACTAAATGACATAAGGTGTATCGATTGTTCAGCAATTAGTATTGCTTTGACCCTGTGATTCCAAAACGTGCACGCTTATCAGAATCACCTGAGGATTTCTGAAAACATTCCAAAGCCCGGGGCACACCAGACCAATTAAATCCCAATCTCTGAGGGTGAAACCAAGATGCCAGGACATGCTCCCCAGGTGGTTCCAACGTGCAGACAAGTTTGAGAGCCACCAGTTTGGGTTATTGATGTTCCACACTAACACTTGCTAATCCATCTGTCTTTACCCGGGGTAGAACCAGGAAACCTCCAGAGCTTAATAAAATTCAGATAATTGAGGTGCATATGCACCCTACCTCCCATCCTGTGACCTGAATCCCAATTTCTTCCAAAAGTTTAAAGCGGGGAGGGATGGGATGGAGGCCTGAGCTGTCCTGCAAACTCATTCAAGACCCTTAAGTATCTGCGCTCTTTAGATTTGTAGGGCGTGCTGACAGTTCCACCTGCGGCGACAGCTGGGCCTGCCCGGGGCAAGCGCAGAGCGGGCCAGTCGGCCCTCCCGGAGGCGCTGGGCCCGGGTGCGGAGGCCTTAGCTGCGCAGCGAGGGCAGAGCGGCAGCTTCAGATGCTGCCACGGCTGTCGGAAACGTCCCCTGCCGGGTAGCAACACCCGGGCCGGGGCGGCTCCCGCGGGCGCCTTCGTCTTCCGCGCTCTGCGGCTCTCTTGGTGGTCTGCTCTTCACCCCGCGAGCCCGGCCGAGGGTGGGAGAAGCGTGTGGCCCGCCGCTCCGCCCGCAGCCATGGAGGCCGGGCCGCCGGGCAGCTCCAGGCCCACGGAGCTGGGTCCTTGCCTGAGCGGTCAGCGAGGCGCGGACCAAGCGGCTTCCGCCTCACTGCAGAGCGCGGCTCGGGCCCAGCTCGGGCGCCACCCGCTCGCCGTGGCTGCGGTGTTGCCGGCCGGGGGGTGCGGGGAGAGGATGGGTGTCCCCACCCCGAAGCAATTCTGCCCCATCCTGGAGAGGCCGCTCATCAGCTACACCCTGCAGGCCCTGGAGAGGTAAGTGGGGCCGGACGCGCCCCGCGGTTCCCTGGGGCCCAGCCTCCCGCTCCCCGCCCTGCAGCTGCTCTCGCGCTGGCGTCTTCACCTCAGGGACCGCCGGGCTGGGCTCAGTTATTCAAGCTTGAGCTCTGTTCCCTCCGTCATTTCAGAGATGGGACACTCTGGCCTTTAACAGACAGGCAAAGCTGCAGCTGCCGCACCGAGCCCTTTACGTGCCCAGGCAGATGAGGTGGTGGGGAAGGCCCGGCGTCTGGCACGGTATTAGAGAGTGCATGGGTTGAGATTTAGCGACCTGGAGTTCTAACTGGGCCCTGAGGAGAAGCTGTCGGGATAGTCTCGCTGTCCTGGGCTCTGCATCCGCGCATGCGTGGATTGAGTTGTACGGGCACACTTACTTTCCAGGGTGTTTTCGTTGTGCTTTTACTCTTTAAATTTACTGAGCACCTTCCATGAGACCGACTGCGCTAATTACTAGGTGCTGCAGGAGGGGAGAGGAGCAGAACTTAATAACCTTTCAGTGGTGGATAGGGATTTAAGCCTGAATTTGAGATATACCTCCTTTATCTTAGAAGAGGCACTGAAGTTAACTAGTTGAGGAAATGAAGGAAACAGAGGGAATGGGAAAAGGAGGACTAGGGGAACAGCAGTGAGGAGCAGAGGAAGTGAAATGGAGGCGTACGTTATAATACTTATCTTTGTTTTTAGCACTGAGTAATGAGGTGGAGCTAGGGGCGAGGGTGCCGGGGTGGGAAGCAGCGGCATTACAGATATTCACATAGTTTTGCTAAGGTGTTTGAACTTCTCTGAAGCCAGTGGGGCTTTGTAGTTTGTGAAGCCTTGAATTGAAGCGAACCGTTTTTATTTCAAGATAGATGTCATCCTTCAGCATACATAGCCTGTGCAAGTAGGTTTTTAAAACTGAGCTAGTGAGATTCTAGTCCAGGGGAAGTGGCACATTCTCCAGACGGGAGCCCCTCGCAAACCCTCACATATACTCAAAAGCCAAAATGCTCAAGTTTTTTTTTTTTTTTTTTTGAGACGGAGTTTCGCTCTTGTTACCCAGGCTGGAGTGCAATGGCGCGATCTCGGCTCACTGCAACCTCAGCCTCCTGGGTTCAAGCAATTCTCCCGCCTCAGCCTCCCGAGTAGCTGGGACTACGGGTGCACGCCACCATGCCCAGCTAATTTTTGTATTTTTAGTATAGACGGGGTTTCACCGTGTTGACCACGATGGTGGTTGAGCCACCGCGCCCGGCTCAAGTTGTTTTTTAACTGCCCCACAGGTTCACCTTGCTCCTTCCTAGACAGAGCCGATTTATCAAGGCAGGGGAATTGCAATGAAGAAAGAATAATTCACAGTCTGCTGTGCGGGACACTGGAGTTTTTTTAATTACATCAGTCTCAAATTATTATTACTAGGCCTGGCGTGGTGGCTCAAGCCTGTAATCCCAGCACTTTGGGAGGCCGAGGCAGGTGGATCACGAGGTCAATAGATCGAGACCATCCTGTCAACATGGTGAAACCCCGTCTCTACTAAAAATACAAAAAATTAGCTGGGCATGGTGGCGCGTGCCTGTAATCCCAGCTACTCAGGAGGCTGAGGCAGGAGAATTGCCTGAACCCAGGAGGCGGAGGTTGCAGTGAGCCGAGATCGCGCCGTTGCACTCCAGCCTGGGTAACAAGAGCGAAACTCCGTCTCAAAAAAAAAAAAAAAAAAAATTATTATTACTCAAAAAATTAGTCAAATCGAGCATTTCGGGATCGGAGTTTTTAAAGATAATTTGGCGGGTAGGGGATTGGAAAGTGGGGAGTGCTAATTGTTCAGGTTGGAGATGGAGTCAGGCGAGGTCTAAGTGAGGTTTTCTTGCTGTCTTCTTCTGTTCCTGGCTGAGATTGTGGAACTGGATAAGATAGATTACCAGTCTGGCTGGTGTCAGCTGATGCATGGAAAGAAGGGTCCGTAAAATATCTCAAGCACTGACCTTAGGTTTTACAATAGTGATGTTATCCCCAGGAGCAATTTGGAGAGGTTCAAACTCTTGGAGCCAGAGGCTGCATGACTTCTAAGTCGTAATTTCTAATCTTGTAGCGAATTTGTTAGTCTTACCAAGGCAGAGCGGTCCCCAGGCAAGAAGGGTTTTTTTTTTCAGGAAAGGATTATCAACACTTTTGTATGGGTCAAACCATAAACTAAATTCCTTCCCGAGTTTAGTTAGGCCTACACCAAGGAATGAACAAGGACAGTTTAAAGGGTAGAAGCAAGATGGAGTCGGTTAAGTCTGACCTTTCACAGTCCTAATTTCCTCAGTTATAATTTTCACAAAGGCGGATTAAGGGTCTCATATTATTTTGCTTTCTAAATATCGGCATTTAGAAAATGGAAGTGTAAAGCGCCATAATCACCGACGATTTGTGTAATCAGCCCAATGATTACATCTGAAACTCGAAATTTGAAATAATTCTAGTTGCTAACTTCATTCTGTTTTTCTGGCCGGTGGAGGGAAGGGTCGCTGAAACCATTCCACCAACCATTTACCTAAAATATTCCAGTGCCATGAACATTGTGACAACATAGCTCATATATGCAGGCATTTCTATGGGACACAATGGCCATCAGGATCTTTATCTGCTTGGTAATTAGCTATAGGGGATTATAGTCATTTCTACACTAGACTTTTCTCCCATAGAGAAAACTTTTGTATTAAATTGAATTTTTTGCATATTCTGAGGCAGCCTAAGATAGGTGGACACTAAACATCTTACTGATATGGTTTGGCAATCACCATAATCCTGTGTGTCAAGGGAGAGATCAGGTGGAGGTAATTGAATCATGGGCCAGGTAGAGATCAGGTGGAGGTAACAATCATGGAGCAGAGATCAGGAGTGGGTAATTGAATCATGGGCGTGGTTTGCCCAATGCTGTTTTCTTGATAGTGAGGTCTCACAGATAGTGAGGTCTCACTTTTGTAAGTTTTTGGTAGTTCCTTCTGTGTTCATTCTCTTTCCTGCTACCTTGTAAAGAAGGTATCTTGCTTTTCCTTTACTTTACACCATGATTGTAAGTTTCCTGAGGCCTCCCCAGCCATGAACTATGAGTAAATTAAATTTTTTTCCTTTATAAATTACTCAATCTTGGGCAGTTCTTTAGGCAGTGTGAAAACGGACTAATATACCCACTTTTAAGGCAAAAGAATGTTTGGAAAGGCCTTGTTAATGGAAAATAAAAAACTGCTTGTCTTCCACATTTACTTAATAACAGCAATCATAAAATCCTAATAGTGACAGTAATTCATCAAAATTTCCATTCTGAAATACTTCATGGCTCATTTTTAATCACTATTATGTCTGAAGAACTTACGGAACATGATTATACATTCGGTATATCCTAGTAAGTCCTTGGAAATCTGGCTTTATAGCAGTGTGTGGGTGGCCATTTGTCAAGGGAAAACCCTTATCTCCTTCTGTAAAAGATCAACCCTACAGACTATTGATTATTTTCTTAGGGTATGGTGCCAAAAGTCCTCAGTCACTTCATTAAAAAAGATAATTTATACAAATTCAAATAAGGAAAAGGACATAGGAGTATAAAATGTCTTATAAGACTACTTTTTTTTTTTGCTCTGTTGAGAAATTATGCATGCTTTTTACTTATGAAAGGTACAGTTCTCATTGTCCCAAATAAGAAAATTAATTGGGTGTCACCACTGTCAATCATCTAGGTTATTCTGAGAGAATGTCATTTCTTGTTTTTCAAGAGCTGTATGTGATGCTCTAAATTTTTTTTCTTCAACTTCTATTTTAGATTCAGAGGGTATGTGTGTAGATTTATTACTTGGGTATATCTCGTGATGCTGAGGTTTACGGTATGATTGATCCCATCACCCAGGTAATGAGTGTAATACTGAATAGTTTTTCAAGCTTTGCCCTCTATATAATAATCCCCAATGTCTGTTGTTGACATCTTTATGTTCATGAGTACCCATTGTTTAGATCCAACTTGTGAGAACATGTATTTGGTTTTCTGTTCCTCTGTTAATTTGCTTAGAATAACAGTCTCCAGCTGCCTCCATATTGCTGTAAAGAACTTGATTTTGTTCTTTTTACGGCTACATAGTGTTCCATAGTGTATATGTGCTACATTTTCTTTATCCAATTCATCATTGATGGGTTCCTAGGTTGATTCCATGTGTTTGCTGTTGTGAATAGTGCTGTGATGAACATGGTGCATGCATCTTTTTGGTAGAATCATTTGTTTTCTTTTGAATATATACCCACTAATAAGATTGTTGGGTTGAATGGTAGTTCTAAGTTCTTTGAGAGAGCTCCAAACTTCTTTCCACAGTGGCTGAACTAATTGACATTCCCACCAGCATTGTGTAAGTGTTCTCCTTTTCTCTGCATCCTTGCTAGCATCGTTTTTTTTTTTTGACTTCTTCCTAATAGCTATCCTGACTGGTGTGAGATAATATCTCATTGTGGTTCTGATATGCATTTCTGACTAGTGATGTGGAGAATTTTTTGTTTGTTGGATACTTCCATGTTGACTTTTCAGAAGTGTGTGTTCATGTCATTTTGCATTTTTAATGTGATTTTTTTTTTGCTGGTTCAGTTGTTTTAAGTTCCTTGTAGATTCTGGATATTAGGCCTTTGCTGGATAATGCAAAAACTATCCATTTACCCTGATAGTTTTTTTTTTTTTTTTTTTTTTTTGCTCTGCATAAGCTCTTCCATTTTTTTGGAGATAGGGTCTCACTTTGCCACCCAGGCTGGAGTACAGTGCTGGGATTTCAGCTCACTGTAGCCTTAACCTCCTTGGCTCAAGTGATCCTCCCACCTCAGGCCTTCAAGTAGCTGGGTCTGCAGGCAGGTGCCACCATGCCCACATAATTTTTTTGTCTTTTTTGTAGAAATGGGGGTTTGCCATGTTGGCCAGGCTGGTTAGGCTATTCTTGAGCTGCTGAGCCCAGGTGATCCACCTATCTTGGCCCCCCAAAGTGCTGGGATTGCAAGTGTGAGCCACTACACCTGGCTGCAGTGCAGAAGCTGTTTAATTTGCTCTCAGTTGTCAATTTTTGTTTTTGTTGCAGTTGCTTTTGAAGTCTTAGTCACAAATTCTTTCTCAAGGCTGATTCCTAGAATGGTGTATCCTAGGTTTTCTCCTAGGCTTCTTACGGTTTGAGGTCTTCCATTTAAATCTTTAGTCTATCTCAAGTTAATTTTTGTGTATGGTGAAAGGTGGGGGTCCAGTTTTACTCCTCTGGATATAGATAGCCAGCTATTCCCCCAACATTTATGGAATAGGGAGTCTTGTTTCCATTGCTTATTTTTGTTGACTTTATTTTTGGGTTCTCTGT